CAGTTAAGAAGAGCGACTGATCAGAGTGGTCGAGAAGGAAGGGAAAAGTGACACGTGAGAGAAAGAGAGAGAGAGAGAGATGGAGAGAGAGAGAGAGAAAACGGTTGAGACCTTGGGATAGGCGAACGCTTTAGAAATTCGTTAGATAATCCGTGGGGCACGGCTCTCTGCTTTCAAGATGGCAGCCGAAAGTGTAAGAGATTAGATAGGGCGCTTCACCAACGATGACTCTTCCTCCTTCTCCTCATCCTCTTTGTCTATGTCTTCTCTCTCTCTCTCTCTCTCTCTCTCTCTCTCTCTCTCTCTCTCTCTCTCTCTCTCTCTCCCTCTTATATATACACAGACGTAGTTATGCAACGTTCCCACAAAATTCCGGTGTTTTAGAAGCGTATATGAACGAGTATTTTAGTTATCAAATTTCAAAGAAAAATTGAAAAATTGAAAAGTTAATATAAAGATTAATTTCATCGCAATATTTTATCATTGTTAATATATCCATATCTTATTATGTATACATATATATATGTATATATATATATATATATATATATATATATATATATGTATGTATTGAGATAGATTAGAATGAAGAAAAATGTATATATCAGATTGATGCATATAAAAGTGTCATTTCATTATAATAAATTTCTTATAATTTATTTAATAACATTTATTTAAAGTCAATTCGAAACTAACATTATTTAATGAAATAGAAAACAAGTATATAATACGCAATAAACAAATTAGAAGAAAACAGTTATGAAGAAGAAACAGGTATAAATGGAGAATCGCATGTTAATAGCGTTGACACCATTGAGGTAGGATCGGTGTGGAGGACGTCGATTGTCAAGTACAACGGCGACGACGACGACGATGTCGACGACGACGACGACGACGACGACGACGACGACGACGACGACGACGACGATAACGACGCGACGCTTCACCGCAAATCTGATTCCATGTAGGTATACTTGACATTAAATTTTCCGTCGGCCTTCTAAACTGTGCGGCGCTATACGTGCGCGCAAACGAACACGCGTGTAGGCAGTCAGCTCACTCCAAAGCCTTTCTCTTTGGCGAGCCAATGATTGCGCCACCTACCGAAAAATCTACGCCTACCAACGCAACGAGGAGACTTAGAAACAGCGATAATGGACGATCCTAAACATGTCTTCGATTCTTTTTCTCTCGATCGCTTATTTTTTTTTGTCCTTATAAATTTGAGGCCTTAAATTTTTTTTTTTTTTTTTTTTTTTTTATAAAATTGAACTCTAACGAAATATTTAGATAATAATTCTATAATGGGAACGATGAAATTCTTTTATCTTTTTTTATTTTCTCTCTTTTTTCTTTTTTTTCTTTTTTGTTTTCTTTTTTGAAACAAGAGACAACATAAAAATGAAATAAGTTAAATAATCAATTGTTTAGAATTCTAATAAAATATAAAGGATATTAAAATAATTTTTCATCCTTCGCTTCTCACGCAAGATACGTATTTTATTTTGACAATAAAAATTATCTAAACTTATTGTATCCTTTGTTATAAAAATGATGATGATAAAGTGAAACGAAAGAACGAATGAGTGCGTGTGCGTGCGTGCGGGCGTGCGCACCCCGGTGCCACGTGACGTCTAAATTCAGTCGGCCATTTTGGAGCATGATTCATTTGTTTAGAGCAGCCCGGATAGGAGAGTGAGAGGCGGAGCTATACGCGCACGAAATCCTCACTAGTGCGCGTTTTAGATTCACACCGATCGTCACCGACCGTTGTGACCCTGTCATGAGCTATCAGATTTCTTACCAAGTGTAAGATCTTCTCTCGATCTTCTCTCGATCTTCTCCTTCCTCTCATCCTCTCCTTTTCCTCGTGTCTTCTTAGGTATCAATTTCGATTTATAAACTATATTTTCCAAAAAAGTCTCGAATCAGACAAAAAGAGACAAACAGAAAGACAGAGAAAAAGAAAGAGAGAGAAAAGAGAGAAAAGAGAGAGAGAGAGAGAGAGAGAATATTTGTTCTTTACTCCATTGTCGCAAAAAGGAACTGGTACGAAGTCTAATATTAAAATTTCGATGCCCCTATGACGTGAAGCACGCAAGAACGCGTGACATACCGTGACGATGGTAGCTCACCACGATGGGAAGAAATAAAAGAGAAAACCTTCGAATTCAATTCGGTGTTGTTTTTCTCATTCTATCGTTCGCGCTCGTCTCACGTTCGTATTCACGAAATTACGTTCGAAATGAAGGATAACGAGAGAAGAAGAGAAAGCATGCAAGGACTTTTGGCCAATAGTATCCAAATTTAAAAAAAAAAAAAAAAAGAATCAGTCTCGTCCGTCGTCCTTTGTTCGATAAAAAAAATTCCTCCTCTTTCTCTCTTTCTTCTTTCTTTTTTCTTTCTTTCTTTCTTTTCTTTTTATTTCTTTTTTTTTTTTTTTTTTTTTTTTTTTTTTTTTTTTTTTTTTTTTTTTTTTTTCTTGAAGAAATTCGCGCCCTCGAACGATCGTGGCTACGGCCGAGTTAACGTCTCGCTTCCCGGGGATCAAGGAGCGTGACAAGGCTACGCAAGGCAAATGTTATTCTCCGTCGAAAAGAGGCATGAATTATTTATCGACCGCGAACGAGAGAAAGAAAGAAAGAAGGCAAGAAGAAAAAGAAGAAAAAAAAAGAGAAAGAGGGGGCTAGAGAGAGAGAGAGAAAGAGAAAGAGAGAGAGAGAGATGAAGAAAAGTCGTCAAGTCGAAGACGATATCTTCACTCTCGTCGGATTACGTTTGAAGAAGAAACCAGCATAGTGTGCCATTTTTTTTTCACTTGTCTCGTGAAATAGTCCGAAACGCTCGTTATAATGAGGAAAAAAAATCAAATTAATTAAATATATATGATTTATAGAAGAAGAAGAAGAAGAAGAAGAAGAAGAAGAAGAAGAAGAAGAAGAAAGAGAAAAAAAATAAGAAAAAGAATATGAAATACTTTCCCCGAATGATTTCAATGCGTTGACGACAATGGAAAGTAAGATCGCATGATAGAAGAAACGAGAGACGAAGCGAAATTCGGCCATGAGACGAGTTTGCGAGACGAAAGAGGGAGAAGGAGGAGGCAGCTGCGTCGGCAGTAGAGATCTTCCTTCCCCTCTCTTTCTTTGTTCTTTTGGAGCTCTTTTTCTTTCGCTCTATCTCTCTTTCTCTTTCTTTCTCTCTCTTTCTCTCTTTCTCCCTTCGGCCAGGTTCGGCTCGGAGCCGAGCATCGTCGAATTTATTCGAGACGAGACTGAGCCTGCCCCTACGAGCAATCGGGTCTTCACGTTGGACACAAGGTCATTGCCAGTGGGTCAGTCGGGCCAATCGCGCTGGCCGAAGGTTTCAGCCAAATTCTTACAACCAGCCAACCAACCGCGAACGTTTCTTTTCCCACTCTAACGATCTACGGACGGATAAATATATGCAATAACTACCGAATCTCGATTAGCTACGAATGTACATGAATAGTATCCAATGGCACGGTGGTGGATGCTGCGATAAGATAGAAAAGGTTGCCTGATAGACGAGATGCTTGAACGTTCCGCTTGTTCCGCCATTCAGGCGGTATGTTGGAAAGGGAACGGATAGGCCGCCGTCCCATGAGGCCTTGACCGTATCTCTGCTTATCGTATCGGCCGAGTTGCACCGTCGACGTCACGCCGTTAAAGTTATGCGCGGCATCTCGTCGAACGTTCATCTTCCACGAAGATGATATATTTTCTTTTTTTTTGTTTTTTCATTTTTTTGTTTTTTTTTTTTCACTCGAAGGTGTCTTCTTGAAATAATCGATAGGTAATCGATCATTCCTTCAAGGTCGATAAAAGGAACTCGATCGATAGAGATCAAATTTTTCGTTCGATGAATAAGAAAAGTTGAAAACGTTTGGGCTCATTGAATTACTTAAACTTCGACACGTGACGTAATCGCGACTATTATCATCGACGATAGATCTCTCTATCCGAATGTGCGGTCTTCCTCGTGCGAGCAATAAATGCATCGCATGAACGCTCCTAACGAGTCCGATGTTTACTCCCAAGTATCGTATGCACCGTAATTGGTATTACGCAAGTACTTGAGCCGTCGCGAGTAAGTACTCGCCGAGCTTGATAAACTCCAAGTAAATCATCGCCTTTCTCCGACGACAACGACGACGACTAAGCCCTTGATCTAATGATCTTTTCCAAACGATCTATGATCGTATTACTGTTTAGATTTTTTTTTTGTTTTTCTTTTTTCTTTTTTTTGCCTTTTTCAAATCGACGATAGAAATAACGTTTGAATTTTTATCATTTCCAGCAAAAGTTCTTTTATACGAATAAATTTCTACGTATACGTACTATCGCTCAATAACGATTCAGTAAGGATTTTAACAGTCCAAGTATCGACCGAGCAAAGACTCGTTCGTTGCATTCGAATCGCCTTTCGAGAATCGTGAGACTCGAGGCAAAGCTTGGAAAACGCCTAAACCAAGCTAGAGTGATTTGCCTGGAATGCGCGACGTCAGGATCGTCGTTGCCTCTCTGTTTCGATTCTTTCCTCGAATTCTTCTTTCCTCTCTCTCTTTCTCTCTTTTTCTCTTTCTCTCTCTCTTTCTCTCTCTCTCTCTCTCTCTCTCTCTCTCTCTCTCTCTCTCTCTCTCTCCTTTTCTCGTTCTATCTAAGTTTCTTTCCTTTACGTACTACTAAGAATTCATTGACGGTAAGATTAATAATCAGAAAATACAATGGAATATATTTAATTGGCATAAGAAATAAGGAAAAAGAAATTCTTATAAAAATTTTTATCTAAATTATTTGGAATAGAATTGTCGATATTTAAGAAGGAAAAAAAAGAAAAAAAAAGAAATTTTTAATTATCTGAATATTTAATTGGCATAAGAAATAAGGAAAAAGAAATTCTTATAAAAATTTTTATCTAAATTATTTGGAATAGAATTGTCGATATTTAAAAAGGAAAAAAAAGAAAAAAAAAGAAAT